TCTAAGGAAATTGTTTAAAAATCCTACATGGAAGCACAATTTAAGGCTAAGGAGTCAAAGGTTAATAGTAATAGGTAAATAACAACTTTTGGGGTTGGAGTCATGATGGCAGAGTAGAGGAGCACTCAGCCAAGCCCTGTCAACATTCCCTTCCAAACAACTTTAAAATAATGCCTCAAATCAAATTCTGGAGTGGCAGAGCCAATAAAAGGTCAGAGTGAGAGATTCTTCCAGCCCAAGGCAATAGAGGAGGTCAGAGAGAAAAATCTGCAACATGGGAGAGGAGGCTGGCCCAGAACCACCACTGGTGGGACTAAGTGGTGGTAACAGAAGCAGCAGCAGCTTTGGGAGCTCTTAAGCCAGAGAAAATAAGGGAACCTGACAACTGGTCAGAAAGAGATTACAGGGTTCCCCTGTGCACTGGACATAGGACCAGATGCTGTTTGGCAACTCCATTGTCACCCTATATCCACTTCTGGGTCATAGTTCAAGTGTAGAGAGGAACACTTTTGGTCAAGAGGAAGTGAAAACCCTGAGAGGAGGTATTACTTCCAGCCCCAAGGGATCAAGAGACTCTGAGGAGCAGTATTAATTGCAATCCCAAGGTATCACGGGCCTTTCCTGGGTAAGAACCAGAGTTCAGACAAAGACAACAGTGACACACCCCTCCCCAGATCGTGCCACCTAAGAAGCACTGAACAGTTTCAAAACCCCAAAACTATTCCGAAAATAACAGTATGAATAAGCCAGAAGCTTGAGACAGAGTCCTGCCTCCCTCATGCTGGGGAAAAAAAAAATTTAACTCCATCTTTAACATATAGCTCCAAATCCAAAAATAGAGTGGGAAAATGAGCAAAAAAAAAAAAAAAAGTCAAACAAACAAGCAAAAAAAAACAAACTTGACCATGAAAGACTACTATGGTGACAGGGAAGATCAAATCACAGATTCAGAAGAAGATAATGAAGTCAAAACAGCTACAAGCAGAGCCTCAAAGAAAAATGTGAATTGAACATAAACCCAACAAGAATTCCTACAAGAAAAAAATTATTTTCAAAATTAGATAAGAGTGATAGAGAAAAAAAATAAAGCAAAGGAAGAAAATTATGAAAGGACAATAACAACTTGATAAAAGAGGCACCAAAAATACTGGGAAAAAAATAACACCTTAAAAATTAAAATTGGCCAAATTGAAAAAGAGGTACAAAATTCATTGATGAAGATAAGTCTTTAAAAAGCAAAATTGGCTAAATGGAAATAGAAGTGCAAAAGCTCACTGAAGAAAATAATTCCTTAAAAATTAGAAGCTAATGACTCTATGAGTCAACAAGAAACAATTAAAAAAGTTAAAAGAATGAAAAAATAGAAGAAAATATGAAATATCTCATTGGAAATTATTAGAGAATTAACAACTTCAGTAAAGTTGCAGGACATAAAATAAACCCATATAAATCATCAGCATTTCTATGTACTACCAACAAAACACAGCAGCAAGAGATAGAAAGAAAAATTTCACTTAAAATAACTGCAGACAATACAAAATAACTGGGAGTCTACCTGCCAAGACAAACCAAGGGACTATATTAACACAATTACAAAACACTTTTCACACAAATAAAGTCAGATCTAGACAATTGGAGACGTATTACAATATAATAAAAATGACAATTCTACCTAAGTTAATTTATTTAAGTGCCATGCCAATCAAACTACCAAAGAATTATTTTATAAAGCTAGAAAAATAATAATAAAATTCATCTAGAAGAACAAAAGGTCAAGAATATCCAGGGAATCAATGAAAAAAATGTTAAGGATGACACCCCTAGCAGTTCCAGATTTCAAACTGTATTACAAAGTTGTAATCATCAAAACAGTCTGGTACTGACTAAGAAAAAGAACAGTAGATCAGTGGAATAGATTTGGTTCACTATATACAGTAGTAAATAGCCATAGTAATCTAGCATTTGATAAACCCAAAGATCCAAGCTTTTGGAGTAAGAACTCAACATTTGACAAAAATTGCTGGGAAAACTGGAAAGCAGTTCGGCAGAAACCAGAGACCAACACTTCAAACAGAATACCAAGATAAGGTCAAAATGGATAAACAATTTAGATAAAGGGTGATATGATAATTAAATTAGGGGAGCATGGAAAAGATGTACCTGTCAGATCTATGGATACCGGAAAAGTTTTTGACCAAGCAACAGATAAAGATTATGGGAAATAAAACAGATAATTTTGATTATATGAAATTAAAAAGAAATCAAAGCTATCAATAGTCACATTAAAAAAATCTCTAAATCACTGCTGAGTAGAGAAATGCAAATCAAAACAACTCAGGTACCACCTCACACCTATCAGACTGGCTAACATGACAGAAAAGGAAAATGACAAATGGTGGAGGGGATGTAAAGAAAATGGAACACTAATGCACTGTTGGTGGAATTGTCGACTAGTCCAACCATTCTGGAGAACAATTTGGAATTATGGCCCAAGGGTTATAAAACTGCATACCCTTTGATCCAACAATACTAGTACTAGGTCTGTATCCCAAAAAAGATAAAAGAAAAGAGAAAAGGACCTATTTGTACAAAAATATTTATAGCAGCTTTTTTGTGGTAGCAAAGAATTGGAAATTGAGGGGATGCCCATCAACTGGGGAAAGGCTGAACAAGATGTGGCATATAATTGTGATGGAATATTATTATGTGATAAGAAAGGATGAATAGGGTGGTTTCAGAAAAAAAGTTGAGAAAACTGATATGAACTGATGCAAAGTGAAGTGAGTAGAACCAGGAGAACATTGTACACAATAACAGCAATACTGTATGATGTTCTACTATGAAAGATTTAGCTACTCTGATCAAGACAACGATCCAAGACAATTCCAAAGGACCCAAGATGAAAAATGCTATCCAACTCCAGGGAGAGATCTGATGAACTCTGAGTGCAGATTGAAGCATGCTTTTTTAAAGCTTTCTTTATTTTTATTGTTTTATTTTATTTGCCTTTTCTTTTGCAACATGGTTAGTACGGAAATGTGTTTGGCAGGGCCTTTGATGTAACTGGAATCAAAGTGTTTGCCTTCTCAAGGAAGGGGGAGGGAGGGAAAACGATTGTAAAAAATTCTTTGACATATAATTGGAAAATATTTAATGAAATAAAAGAAAAAGAAAAGAAAGATAAATAACACCCAGGGTTTAGGACCCTTAGTTTCTTCAAAGTGCCACAAAAGGGTTAAGGGTATTAGGACCAATGACATAAACACTAGAATGCAGATAGTGACCAGCCCCTGGAAACCCAGTATGTTCATGAAGTTGTGACAACCAGGAAATTAATAAACTTCTTGCTTCAAACAATAAGGCAGGCACGAGTAACTTCCTAGGTGAAGTAGGTCTATAAAGTCCGGGTAGCATTTGTGAAAACAGCAGGACAAGAAAACCTATCCCCTTTCAATTAAGAAAGGTACTAAGGTTGTGTGTGTTTGTAGGGTGGGGGGAATGTAATTAGTTGGGTCAGAGTTCCAGGAGCAGAGTCATCTCATTCCCCTGCAATTTCTTAATAAGCATGAATTTTATTGCAGCGCTGCATGTAAATTAGCAAAAGCTAACCATTCATTCGCTCATGTAATTAAATAATGTGTGCCTACCGTGTTTAATGAAATCAACTATGTTAAGCACAAGCAAGTCAAATGGTCTGTAAGCAAATAAAGATTTTATTGAAAATGTAAACTAAAACTTGTAAGAAAAACCCTGATACTGCATTCCTTTAGGCCAGGGGCAACAGCCTTTGGGTGCTTGATGCAGCAGAAAGGAGGAAAAACAACTGAATTGTGGGACCTGCATTGGATTTCTACTACTTACTACCTATTTGACCCTTTGGCAAATCTCTGGGCCTGTTTCCTCATCTACAAAATAGGTGTGGGTGATGTGGAGTGCTATAGATGATCTAGAGGCCTCTTCCCATTCTAGATCAATGATCCAACAACCACTTTTTGGAGATAAAGCACTCATGATCCATCCAATTCCCATCAGTTCCTACTTGATACATTGGTGGGTCTGTGATTTAATTGGTGTGGTGGGCCCTGTTTCTAGGACGGCAGATTGCCACGTCTTCTCATCTCCTCTGCTTCTCATCCATGTTTTCCTACAATCCTCAGGAAGACTTTAGTTCAAATCCAGCCTTACACACTTCTTAGCTGTGTGGCCCTTGGCAAATCACTTAACCTGTCTGCCTCAGTTTCCTCAACTGTAAAGTGGGGACAATAACAGCACCACCTTCCAGGATTGTTGTGTGGATCAAATGCTTAGCTCAGGGCCTGGCACTTAGTAAGTGCTTAATGTATATTCCTTTCCTTGCTCTCTTATCCAGGGAAAACCATTCCATCTGTCTGTTTGTTTCTCTTTCTTGCTACACAACCAGCTCATCTTCTTTTCTGATTATACTTGTCCTTCATAGGGTGCAAAGCATGTGCAGGCCACAGACTGCAGCATACTTGCACACTAGAATACCAGCTGAATGAGCGTATCAAAGGGTTGAGCGCTTGACCATACACCCTTAGGGCACTGACAGGTGTTGGGAGTGAAGCAGAAGCCCAGATGCCCTTGTTTCAAAGGGATTAAAAGGTGGTGGAATAAGAGCACTGATGATGGTGACCACTTCTTGATTTCAGAGGACTGATGTCCCTCCTTTTAGCAGAGAGGTGTTGGACTATAGGTGTGAAATGAAACCTACTTTTCCAGATATGGCCAAAGTGCTGGTAAGTTCTCCTCTTGAGGCCAGATCTGTTTAACAGCAAGGCTCCTTACAGACAGAAGGAGCTACTACCCAATGTTTTGTGTTCTTTTTCATGCTGAATCTACTACTAGGAGTTACTATTCCTTCTCGGCTGCAGAGACAGGATGCACCAGGGGCCACACATCATTTCTTCTTATTAGCAAAGGAAGAGTGATATCTGGGCTTCATTTGGTACCCCCCACCCCCAAATCCAACTCAAAAACAGTTTATATAAAACAAGTTTTATTTACAAGAGATTATTGTATAAAATGTACAATTATGAAAAATAATCATCAAATGGAATAAACCTATAAAAAAGTCAGTTTCTGGGTATATATATAATAGAAGAAACTATACAAGTATATACAACTCAATAACATATCCCAAATAGTGAAACATGACTGTACAATGTGGACCCTCTCGCAGCAGAATGTAAGGTCCTTCCCAACAAGACCCACCTCCCTTTGGTCATTTAGCACCTGCAACATAGGAGATGCTTGATGAATGCTTGCTGTCATCCAGTCTCTTTTTCTAAGAGGAATAACCTCATCAGGTTATTATGATTTAATTTTGGCAATAATGAAAAATTTGACAATAAATATTGCAACATGAATAAAAAAAACTCTAAGTGGAAAATGTGGTTCTTATTTACAAAAAAAAAAGTTCTTGGCCCATATACCTGAAATATGCATTGAAGTTAAATAAAAATTATATTTTAATGCTACTTACAGATTAAAATCATTATTATATTTTTCTTTACAAGTAATAATAATAAAAATCAAAGACCAATAAAAAGAGACACATGGAAATTATAAACAGGAATGTGCTTGAGCCAGTTTGTATCAGCTCATAAGAGCCGATGGTTAAATTTTCAGTGTGAGCATTTACATATCGAGATTGGCAGACACTACAAACTAGGGCTTGATTTATTGTTTTGTTGATTATCCAGACTTCAGAAACTTATTGAGAAAATGTCAATAATACACATTAAAGTTAAAAGTGTGTCACGTGGTTTCAGTGAGTCATTTGTTCAACATTTACCAGTGGTCTCCTGGTCATAGAGCACAGATTTAGAAATAGACTATACAGTACAACCCCACCATTTTACAGGTGAGAAAACTGAGGCCTACAGAAATGAAATGACTCTCCTGGAGTTCCATAGGGAGAAAGTGCTGGAGGAAGGATTTTAAGCCAGGTCCTTATGTCATCATCCAAAAGATATCCTGGATTAGGAACCAGGAAATCTGAGTCCTAACTCTGCCTCTGGCTGGTTGAGTGACCTTGTGAAATCAATTCCCTTCTCTGGGCCCTATTTTTAATATCTATGAAATGAAGGGTCCAGACTAGGTGATCCCTAAGATTCCTTCTAGCTCTAATATTCTAAGGCAACATTTTAGGGAAGCCAATTGACAAGTAACTTCCAGCTCTAAAATTCCATAATCAATATTCAGAAGCCAAGAAATCCTTAGGTAACTGATCAGTTACTTGCAGCATCCATCAACTCTAAATTAATGACATCTATGTGTACATTTTTTAGTCTTCTCTCCCTCAGAATCGACAGTTGCTAAAAAAACAAAAACAAAAACAAAAAACAAACCCTGCCCCCCTGCAAAAAAAAAGAATCGACAGTTGCTTTTAGTTCAGTTACACCTGAAGGCTTAGCAAAGGAAGAGTATGAAGGGAAAATATAGAACCACAGATCTATAACTGGAAGAGTCCCTAAAGGCCATCCAGTCTAATTGTCTCCTTTTATAAAAGAGGACACTAAGGCCCAGGAAAGGCTTAAATGACTTGACTAAAATCACACCCATTCAGTGGCAGGACTCAGATTCCAATCCAGGTCTTCTGACTCCAGCTGTTTCTACCATACTGTGATGTGTCCATTTGAATTGAAAGTACTTGCTTTACATGGGAACACTTAGAAACGCTGGGCATAGAGCTCCATCTGAGTTGCAGTATGATCCCCACTGATCATAGAACGTGATGGAAAGACACTTCTGAAAGGTATAGAAGACTCTAAGACCTACAATGCTATTTCTATCTGATATGAAAGGTGTATCAGTAAGAGGCCTTAACACTGGTTGAACTCGATGAGTAGGAGCTGGATTTCCTAGATAATTTATTGGAAGTGAGGGACACTTGCATTCTATTCACAGTCCGGACACTTCGACAAAGAAGAGTGTTCTTGGCATGATCCCTAAAATCTTGAGAAATAAAGTAATAGACAAAGGGGTCAATACAGCTGTTAAGGGTAGAAAGACAGAGAGCTGCTATGTACAGAGCATAGACGTGGCTCTGGCTTCTGTTTCTAATCAGGAAATAATGCACCACCAGCAAAGTATTACTAGGCATGAAACAGATCAGGTACATGGCCAGCACAGTGATGATGAGTTTGATAGCTCTCCTCGTCTTCCTTCCAGAATCATCCATAGCAGAAGAACGGAGCGTCCGGATCATTAGGATATAGGCAGAGGCCGTGAGACAAGCTGGAAACAGGAAGACACCAATGGCTAGAGAGAGGAAATAATTGAACATATCTCCAGCCAGCACATTTGCAGGCAAAACATCATGGCACGTTGTGATGTTAAGGTCTGGAATATAGACAGTTTGCCTCACAACATACAGGGGAATGGTCACCAGCAGAATCAGCAGCCATATTCCAATGGAAACCCCTATGGCAATGTTAGACAACTTTCTGGAGCGCACAATGGGATTCATGATAACCCAGTATCGCTGCACACTGAGACAAGTCATGAAGAGAATGGAACAGTACATGTTGCCATAGAAAAAACCAATCAACACCTTGCACAGGGCTTCCCCATAAATCCAGTTGTTGCCATTCAAATGATAGGCGATCTTCAAGGGAAACCAGATTACAGATAAGAGATCCGCCAAGGCTAAGTTGGCCATGTAAATCACAGCAGGGTGTTTCTTTTGTGTTCGGAAAAGAAAGACCCACAGAGCCATGCCATTGCTCGGCAAGCCAACGACAAATACAATTGTATAGACAATTGGAAGGAAGACAGTAGTCAGCCCTCCAGTAAGAATCTCTGCAGAAAATGGATCCACGTAGAATCTTCCATTCCCACTGGATGAGATATTTGTTGAGGGGATCTTGTGACCGATAAGACTTCTCCCTTTGGTTTTGTTGACTCCTAAACAAAAAAGAGAAGATAGACAGGGGTCAGTTTAAGACAAAAACACTAATTTAGAAGTTTCAGCTAGTCAGTTCAACTAGAAGCACTTGAAATCACATGGTAAAAATATTAAGGTAAAAAAATGCATTGCTGACTTTTGAGAATTTCATAAATTTCATAAAATTTCATGACATTATGTTGATCCACTTGTCCCTTTCCTACTCACCACTGCCCAGTGTTCCCATTATTATCTTATTTCCTTTGTCTCTCCAGAGCTTAGCACAGTTCCTGGCACGTAGAAGGCACTTAATAAATGCTTATTGACTGACTGACACATTTCTAGCTAATAACTTTTAATGTTCAAATGCTGGGTCAATTAATATGGACTGGTTTTTAGCTATTTCTCCTTTTTAAAAATCAAATTATTTAGCACTGAAAAATCTAACAAGTTTTAAAATTTTTAATTTCACAGTGATGCTCTATCCAGAATTGTCAATCCAAGCCAGGTTCAGGATCTGATCCCTCCAGTTAAATTATTCCTTTACACAAGTCCTGACAAATGGAATAGCTCCTTGGATTCCTGGGGAAGTTCCTTTCCACCCAAGGACAAATAGTAATAACAACTCATTTCATATAGCGCTATGGAGATTACAAACTGCTTTTCTCAAAACCACATTGTTAGGTGGGTGGTGCAAACTCTTTTGTCCCCATTTTGTAGATGAGAAAACTAAGGCTCAGCAGAGACTTGTCCCCTGTCACATGACTCATGTTATACTAAAGATATCAACCAAAGTCTCTTGGCTCAAGAGAATGATGCTCATTCTTTTCTACCATGTTGCCTCTCAATAACCTGCAAGGACCTCATCTGCAAAATGAAGGGTTTTGCCTAGATTTCTCCAAATTATCTTCTAATTCTTACTATCTAAACATCTATAATTGCCTTTCCACTGTTCTGGTGCCTTCAAGAGAGGACACAGGAGGAAGGATCAGAGATTGAGAGCTGGAAATGACCTTAAAGATCACCTAATCTGAACTCGTTTTACAGATGAAGTATTGGAAGCCCAGACAATTGACATGATTTGCCCAAGGTCATCCAGATAGGAAAACACAGAGCTAGAATTTAGATACAGGTTGTTGGACTCTAAATCCTTTCCAGAACTACTTCCCAGAGTCCTCTCCACAAGGCTTTTTGATTTTCGTTTTACCCAAGACCATCAAAAAAGGAAGAACTTTACCTGCTCAAAAGCTGCGAACTTAACTATAAATTTGTAATATAGGCCATTGCCAGAAAACTGAAGGCTAGAAAAAGGAGTAGGCACACCTATTTTACAGTGAATAAGCTACAAATGGCCTATTTTCTGATCAACTTTAAAGTCTCTTCCCCTAACCTACTCACCTACCCCAAACCCAGTGCATGTTTTCTATTTTGAAAACTGGAAGGAGACACAGAAAAGACATTTTTCTCCTCTTAAAAGCAAGTATACTTAGCCATTCATGATGGAAAAAGGCAGAGAACATTTCAGCATACAATGGAGATGTTATTTTAATTAGAAAGTACAAGAAAGTCACCTCGTCCTGTGCTAGAGCAGCGTCCCATAACCTGCGGTCCAGGAGCCTGGTTTTAAAAAATATATTTTGACAATTGTATTTCAATATAATTGATTTCCTTTGTGATCTTATGTATTTTATTTCATGCATTTAAAAACATTATTCTGAGAGAGTGTTCATAGGTTTCACCAGGCTGCCGAAGGGGTTAATGACAGAAAAATGGTAAAGAATTCCTGTTCTAGAGCACTGTTTCCCAGGCCAAACAATTCTACAAACCAACAAAGCATTTAAACTCCCCAACAATCTGCTCTGCCCTTGGTCAATGTGAGCAAGCACTGACCACGTTCTTCCCGGCTAGAGACCGGGATGGGGGTGGGGTGGGAAGAAGAAACAAAGGAGACAAGAGGAGGCAGCAGGAAATGAGGAGGAGGAGAACAACGTAGCCTCCGTTGAAATATACAGGTTTTAAAGTGAAAAGGTTTATAGACCAATAAAAAAGACTGATGTGGAAATCCACAATGACTGCTTTGCTCCATCCATTATGCTTACCCAGGATACCCTCAGTCCTTTCACAAGCTTTCCCAATAATTCAACGTTCTTGCTTAAAGGTATCACTTTTTTTTTTTTTTTTGCCTTTTAGCTCCCCATCTATTATGATTTACTTTTTTTTTTAAGGTGCCATGTTTAAAAGCTTCGATCCTCAAAGACTGCAATACTGAAGTAGGACGAAGAGACACAGTAACAATAACAATTCCCTCACCTTCTCTTGGGAGAAAGAGTCCCAAAGCTGGACTAACTAGCAAAAAGCGAGACTCTTACAGGATTCTACAGTGTCACAGGTGGAACGGACCTTAGAGATTATCAAGCTAGGCCACCCCCTAATTTTATATCTGAGGAAAAGGAGGTTGAGAGGTATAAGAATTTGCCCAGGTCTTCTTTTCATTGGGTTTATTACTTTCCTGGTTCTGTTTGCATTGCTCCGCACTAATTCATATAATACACCTATATTTCTATGAATTCTTCCAATTCATCACACAGATAGAGGTGAGACTAGAACCCAAGACTCCTTGTTCAGTGCTGTGCTTTTCTACCACTTAAGTAGCAAGGATATACTGCACTAAGGTTGTAAGCACAGTTAGAGCAGTGTCTGGGTTATACTTCTTTTGTGTCCTTCAAAGTACTTAACAAAATTTTAGCATGCAGGAGTTGCTCAAGAATTATCTGCTGATTTAATTAGCAGTAATTTATGTCAACAGAATAGAGTTTCAGTGTAGGTAACAGAAAAACCAGAGATAGTCTGGCACCCGGAATCTGGACCTCTGCTCTGCCTGGTACCTAGACGCAGAGAGGTGGTCTATCTTTTAGATATAGACTAAGAGCTCTAGGGATTGTGGCAGATAACACACAACTGAAAATCTGCAAATCTGTCAAAAAGAGATGGTCTAAGCAAAGAACTGGATACAAAGTGTATGCCTGTCAATTAGGAAATGGCTGACAAATTGAGGCACATAAATGTTATAGTATATAATTGTCCTAGAAAAAATGGCAAATATGAGGGATTCAGAGAGACATAGGATAAGTTGTATGTAGAGTGAAGCAAGCAGAACCATGAAAACAATGAACAGTACCATAATGTAAATGAAGAAAATGATTGAACAAAGCCTAACCCTGTGTGATTATATTGCGCAATCTTGACCCCAGAGAGGAGATGAGAAAATGCATCACCCTTCTCTCCTGTAGAGTAGGTTCACAATGGTCAGTGTCAGATGGTTTTGTTTAATTGTTTTCTGTATTACAAAGGAAGGTCCACATGGGGTGGAGGGGAGTGTATATGGAAATTCCAATGATGGACAAGTGAAAGGTCTCAAATAAACTTTAAAAAAAAAAGACTGCCTAGTTGTAAAACACCTTTTTTCACACATACTTCTCACATCTGCCTAGGAGATAGTGAGCTCCATGAGGAAAGGCACATGACACTTATTTGATAGCAATAGCTTACATTACATAGGCTTTTGAATTTCCTCTAGAATCCAGTGGCGATTAATCATTGTTGAATCACGATGAAATGAACAGGCATTTTAGAATACCTTAAAGATATATTTCATACTATGGAAATGGCTCATGATAGATTTCCCAAATAGAAAACACAAGCCCACTTAACTCATCTCAAAATATAAATGACATAGCATTGCCGGTCTAACCAATATTTAAACTACCTTCTTCCTATTCATTTTTTTTTAACATTTACTTAAGACTTAAAAATAATTCAATTTATTTTCAAAAACATTTAAGCACCTGCAGGATCTAGAGAATACAGAGCAAAAATGAAACAGTCCCAGCCGTCAAGAAACCTACATCCTGGAAAAAATATGTATCTTGCAGCTTTTTCTGAGTTTTTAGCTCTCAGACACCCTGATCAGCTGAAGGGCTTTGGGATCTGGGGGGCAACCAGAGCTAACCAAAGCAAGGGGATTTTTAAAAAAAAGTATTAGGCTTCCTTCATAACATGACTAATATGTAAATGTTTTATATGATTGCACACACATATATAAATATACATATATATATATATATAATCACCCATATCAAATTGCTTACCAACTTAGGGAGGGGGTAGGGAAGGGAGGAAAAAAGAAAATTTGGAACTCAAAATTTTATAAAAAGTGGATGTTAAAAATTATCTTAAATTTAATTGGAAAAAATACATTTTTAAAAAGAAATAAAGGTTAAAGCAATAAAATAAAGTATTGGGTTCACAAAAATATAGCACAATGAATACAATGTCAATGAAAATATCAAAACTTTGAGTAATAGAAAAAGAAATAAAGGTTCTGGAGAAGAGATAACTAGAACAATATCACTTCCTTCATGTCAAAAAGGTGGGGGACAGAATTATATACACTGTCGTACAAGGTTTCTATATCTGATGTTTTTTGCTCAATTGTTTTCTTTCTCCCAATGGCTCAATATAGGAATCGGGGATTGGAAATGACTGGGATATAAAGACAAATGGCAGCATCTACAAAACCTATTTTAAAGACATTTTTAAAAAGAAAACAAACACATCCTAATAGGATGACACTTAAATAGAGATAACTTTTTTAATTGGATGAAGACTACTAGGCAAAGTCTCTAAGCAGAGAAAATACAAGGAAATTACAGTCATGTTTCCTATAGTTCCATCCATGGAAACTTGTTTTTGGACGTTTCAAGTAAAAGAGCTTTGAATAGGGAGAAAGTTATACAGAACAGGGACTGTGACTACATAGAAGGCAACTGTGCTATCAGCCTCATGAAGGCCTTAACTATGGCACCTGGGGAGCAATCCGAGCTGACCAAAGCAAGGGTCTTTCAAAAGTCCAGTTTCTGTTCCTTCAACACCAGATCTCAGAAGATTATAAATAACTTGGCTAAAAACAAAATTCTAAGAATTTTTTTGGAGGGGAGTGGGGTGGGGAGGAGAGCAATTA